TCTCAAACCTGTGCACATATTGTGGACAGATAGAATTTACGAATAATGTGCTCGACCATTTAATGAAATAGTTGCACTTCATGAAATAGTCGGTCACATCATATATTAGTATAGTCAGGTCAGATCAATGAATAATAAAATCAATCAGCAATTGACGATATGAACAGCTAAAGACTCTACTACTTAGTGATAAGGTCTGAAATTAGTTGTATTAGTTAGTAGTAGTTAATGTGTATCATGAAAATTACATTATCTACTGTAATGGCGGTGGACAATTATTTTTGGTTTTAAAAATCACTTAATTTATAAAAACAAAAGAAAAGAGTGTACTGAAATGTCTTAAAAAAACTGACGTTATCATTTTGACGACACATCAACAATATTTCAAAGTAGTTGGTAAATGACTCAACTGCTATTTTTCCGATGAATTCATTTAAAATCGTTTAATAAAAATATTTAGTAACACAAGCCTCATAATGAAAAACAAACACACAACTGAAAAGAGACCAGAATGGGTACACACAAAATTGATCACAGAAATTAGTGAGGTCATGTTATTACAATGTGGGATATTTAGGACCAGAGGCGATAATGGGGGCTCGTAAACGCCGCATTGTACCGGACACGGCTTTGATTTAGGGTTCGAGTATTAAGCGCAGTATATGATCAGATTGATCAGGGATCCCCCTGATAGGATATATTGTTTATACAATAATTACCTTAAAATAATTATCACCGAATTTAATGTGCTAAAATCTTGACAAAATATTTAAATTAAGCAATACTCTTCATTACTTCATTCTCCACCATAGGGGGCGGAATATTTTCTTTCAATTTAAACAGGGATCAACCTTACCTACAACAAGTACCAAGTACCTATAACAATATTTTTCAATTAAAAAATAACTATCGAAATTCATTCACAGTAAATGGCGAAGATGTCATGTGATAAACACACAAAAACAGTCTAATTAAGAACCTAATCCTTCTTCCCATCGATAAATAATGCAGCAAGATTTCTGGTTGCTTTTTTAATTAAATTAAATTAAGGGTAAATTAAATTAGTTACCTGTTGCTATAATCTCACATCTCTTGCAACGAAAGCTCTGGGGCCGGGACTGTAGAGCTGAAATACGATGCTGTTTTGTTCCAAACACATTGTTATTTATTTCTAAATAAATAAATATTATAGATAAATTACACCCAGTCACAGAACAAATGATCGTGCTCATCACACAATAATTTGACCAGGGTAGAAATCGAACTCACGACCTCCGGCTTAGCAGACAGGGTCACTAACCACTCACCAATAAGCCACAAAAATGTAAAGGTCAGACTCAAAACAACAATTTGTAGATCACACAAAGTGTTGTCCCATGGCGGGATCAAACCCATAACACTCAGCGCTGTAGGAAGCGGTGTGTTGACTACGCCATCCCCGTAGTTTTAAATTTCATGATTGGTTGAATTGGTTGAGTAATTTTATTAGGGCGTCAAAGCGTTAATAATTATATAAACTCATTTTCGCTTACCTATATATTTCTTTAAGATCTGCGTCTTTTATTCTTCCTATATAGCTCCTGGTGTCGAACTGAGAAACTCTCAACATTAAAACTTTCGGAGCAACATATGACGCTACGAGCTCTAAATAATGTACTGTTAGAAAACAGGTGAGGATAACCAGACTAATGTATTGCTGAACCTACATAATAATATGTAGGTTAAATATATAAATAAGAGTAACAATAAACAGCCGTGTAAGAGTTACAATTTGTGGTTTGCTGTATCGAGTTAAAAAATAGAGAAAGTAAACAGATATTCCGATGATAAGCTTGGTAGTTGTAATAAGAATGTTTCACAGTTTTTTTAAGGTATGTTGTACTTCTACTTTTACTTTGTATTGCCGAGAGGCCGATAATGGAGAAGCTATGCTACATTATTATATCACAATAATCATGTAATTTGAATTCATTCATTCAAAGTAATTTGAATTTGTTTTCTTTTTCCGTTTTTTTACATACGTCCGGAAACAAAAACGTACTTGTAACCCAAAGGTTGTGAGCGCCTTGTGACTCCAAGTTGCAGACGGACATATAGGCGGCGGCGGCGGTAATCACGTTCCATCAACTTTCAAAAACAACAAAATTTCAAACAACATGGCAAATTATAGTAATTATATTTTGGACTACAATACTATAATTCGCCATTTTGGAGCTGTTATAATGATGGGGCTAAGGATTGGATGACGGAACTCTTTAGTCGCTACCGTGGAAGTGCTATGTTAAAGCTCAAATGAATCGGCTCGACCGGAGTGATATTAAGGCTTCACAGAAAACCAGCGTTCATAAATTCTGTCATTGTTTTTTACGGAGTGATTCTTAAATTCGTTGCTATTCACACCCTTGCCCTGACCTTGGAAGGGATCCGTGGATCCTTACGTTGCAGGTGTCTATCGGCGGCGGCGGCAATTCCTTATCATCGAGTGATCTGTCTGCACTATGCCATGAAAAAAAAACTAGTAAACCCACCAAGTTTGGACTCGTAACCTTTGTTTTGACGAGACTGTTTAGACATGGTCACAATAGTCTAATGACGAAGCGAGGATGAGTTTTTTAAATTTTTACTTTGTTCCTTATTTAACTTTGTTTGACTTAGTATTAATAAAATATTATCATTTTTCTCAGAAACAGATTTTATCATAGATATCGCATTAAGTCGCGATTTTCCTAATGTAACAAAATTATTTCTTCTGAAGTTTAATCTCATTGCAAGCCTTTAGTCGTTTACCAATCGACATTTATAGAATAGAATGTAAAGAACAAAATTATCAATAATTTAATTTCGTTTCCGAAAAAAGGAAAGTGCATTCTTACAATTAATAAATAACTGGCGGCAAAATTACACATTTAGTTACTGCTCTTTTAAAACTGCTTGTCTCTCAACGTGATGAAGAGTAAATTATGTTTTCATATCTTTTGATAATGTTATGTATACATAGGGACAGCCTTTAATTTTTTAATTTGTATATCTGGTGACATGTCATTTGTTAAAAATAAAACTGTGCTCTTCTTCTTCAATCTTTAGTCACCCATAATTTGGTTTAGATCTTTTCATGAGCACGGCAAGCAGTAGGGTTCTTTTTTATATTTTGATGGGCCAAATGGGTCGGCTTGACCGTAGTAGATACTACGGACACCCAGAAAACACGCGTTTAGCAATCGTTTCGGTGCTTTCACCAAAAGATTGAGGTTACCGGTTATTAGGTTGTTTATTTAAAAAAATCAAGGAGATGAGGCACAGCAAATCTCATAATCCAGCATCAAGACTAGCAATGAAATCTTCCTGCGGGAAGCCGTGGTTTAATCGTTGCATTTGTAACTCTGTGTCTTTGAGAAAGTAGCGGGAAGCTACAAGAAAGCTAGAAAGTAGTGCTGCGGTTCCGAAGGAATGTTGGAATAAGATTGGCATAGTGCTTATAACATATATATAATATTTGATACCTATTATTGTGCGATAATAATAAGTGGTCAGAATAATATACGTATTATTAGGTTTTTACAAATAATAAAATAGGCAATTTTAGTCTTTATTTTTCTATATTGAAGATGTTATTTTTACATTTCATACAATAAACAAAATATTGACATTAGTTAAACCACACTCCAAAAATTTAATAATAATCCTATGTTACTTATTAGTAAAGACGTTTTTGTATTAAAAATTATACATTTATTAAAAAAAAAAGTTAAGTTCTCTACGTTGCAAACGTGGTGTCGTTTCATTTTTTTTTTTAAAATAATATCAACATTTAAAGCTGTCACTTTTAGCCAAACAGTCTTGAAATAAGCGAAAATTTGAGATAATATTCAATACAGATATTAACCGTGTAACCATTTTCTGTATTCCGTTAATGCATAATTATTTTACGCTCAAATAACAAAAACGGCGAGCGTTTGAGCGAAAAAACAACTTGCAACGCGTTTAGTCACTGGTGCTAATTCTTTTATTCGAAAACTCTCTAAACTAAACTAAAAATCACTAAAAATTTGATTCGTCTTGTCCTAAATTTCCTGTTCTGAAAACGTAGATTTTGGCAGGGCAATTTTTTTTAGGGTTTTTTAGTTTAGTTTAGAGAGTTTTCGAACAACAGAATTAGCAGCAGTGTAAAGCATTCACATTGTAAGATCGTGTTATCCTTTTTATCAGAAACGCTCAGCACGTGTCGTAGCAAGGTCTCATATCGAAATTCGTGTCGTGGATATCATTTTATACAACCGCAACACATTTTGAGATATTTTCTCGCTCAATGAGCGTTTTCGATCTTTAAGCGTAACTCATATAATCCGCTTTTGTTTTTAAATTTCAAGGCTATGCAAGTAACAGCTAAACAGTTGTTTAACAACTGCTCATTTTTGTGTGTGTGTTTTTTTTAAATGATACGTTTTATACTTACACAAACTATCATACTGTGTACAATATAATTTGGCATATTTTCATTATTCTAATCATTACAACAATACATAAATCATTCAAACTCACTAATGTATAATATCTACGTACAAAAAACATTATTTTAATAATTAATAAACCCTTACAGTACATTTTTATTACCTTCTATAAACTTACTTAGGATTATTTACGTTCGAACTCAAAAATACGGTTACACCTCTATTTAATATTTATTTAACTAAATCAAATAATTAACAAATACGGTCAGTCATTTGTTTACAAATTTTTGACTGTCTGTCAAATTCTTCAAATATCTTGTCAAAGATAATGTTATCAAATCATACAACAGCAATTAATTATATGGTCGGTTATGAAATACCAACTTACATAGGTGTTAATCTCTCCGGTACCTTCATTCCTCTCAAGCTGTGTGTGGATCTGCGAATTGCACCACCCTCATGTCGATTTGATACATGGTGCAAAACTTCTGGCAACGATTCTACTTCCGAATGAATAATCGTTTCATCAGTCAGATTTCCACTTTCGTCTCGTCAAGATCTATGTAAAAACTCCGACGTAAGAACCTTCTGATTAGTTGCTTTTAAAACTTTCTCGTGATGTCTTAATCTGTGAACGATCTCATCATGCAGAACATTAAAACACATGGCAGTGAGAGCAAGTCCAGTCATAATGTATATTGAACAAAACCAAACGGTACCTGAAGACGCACCATTCTTCTGAGTTGCTCCTGGAGCTAAATGACCAAAACCAATTGTGCTGAGACTCATAAAGCAGAAATAAACTCCATCTATAGGACTCCAGCCTTCCAGCTGATACAAAACTAGTGCTCCAAAGAAAATATAAGTAAAGATAGCAGCCAAACATAAAGATATAGGAGCTAGAATCGATAACCCTCGCAGAGACACTTTAGAATCTGTGTCAGTGCAACTCATAGAATCGCAGTCTCTTAAAAAGCTGAGACCTTGAGTCTTGTCTTTGATGGAATTCGTGCTAACACTGTGAGCTTGAGAGGCTGATATTATTGTCCCTGATGGCGACCTTACGTAATACGGTTCCTGTAGATGAAGAGTCTGGTGTCTATAATCGTCCTGCCTTCTTACTTTTTCTTTCCTTTCTTTACTTGTCATAGTTCTCTCATCAAGGCAGCAATATCCGCATTTTGTGCATAAGCAACAGCACAAAGCTCTACTAAACACGCTTCTCGCTAATCTTGATAGTAAAGCACCAACTACGGATAGGTAAAGAAGTGTTAGAGGTATACCTATGACTGCATACCCAATTGTGACCGCTTTCCCTAAAGCTGTTCGAGGTGCCACGCTTCCATAACCTAAAGAAAAACAGAAAAAATATATTACTACTATACATACAAAATACACGATTTTAAGAGATTAATTTGCATTTAAAATAAATAATAATAATGAAAATTGAATTCATGAATCTGAGAAAAAAGGTATATTGCGGAATTATAGCGTATAAGGCTTTCTTTGCAAGGTACAGAAATAATTTTATTCAGTTATGATCTCCTTATAGATAGAAATAGTTTCGTGTAGGGATTCTAAATGTTATTCTTACCAATAGTCGTTAAGACAGTCAGTGAGTATAAAAACGCCTTTGCAAAGTTCCATTCATAATCGTCAACTACCAACGCGGGTGCTGATTCCAACGCTCTTGCACCGCCGTACTGCGCTGAGACATCGGCCGCAACTCTTGCTACTAACTTCTCCTGAAACCTCGCAATTTCTTGAGCTGCCAACCTTGTCCAATTCTCCTTATACAGAATGTTCAACGAAACTGTAATCTCCCAAATACTTTCCACAGTTTGTGATCTTAATTCTGCACTGGCTTGACTGATAGTACCATTTAATTTGGACAGCGGCACTAATTTTTGATTTTCACTCGCTTGGTATGACGTAGTGGCTAGAGTTTTCTGGTGAACTTTGGCTGCCCCACCTTCAATTGCTAGGAATATAAAGGCTCCTAGTAAAGTGTAGGCTAAGAGTAATGTGAAGATACCCAAATTTGTCACACAGCCAGCTATGAAACTCTTTTTCTTACTCTTTTTAGTCTTAACGCAGAGGCAGCAAGTAGTAATGACATCATCGTCAGTTCTATAGCTTTCTGACTTCCCATTTTTCTTATATTTGCCATTCACATGGTTTTTTTTCTTAATATTTTTGTCCATATTTGTTTTCATGGATGTCGGTTATTTGACATTTTATCGAAAGAAGCATATGTATAGAGTAATTTTTATAAGGCCTCTCGGAAACGATATAGGGATAAAGCAGCAAAAATCCATCTGTGAAAAAAGGCTTCACGTTAATAAAATTTATATTCTTTTATTTTTCAAAGGAGCTTTGGTTCTTTAAAGGTTTACATAATGCTGAAATCGACAAAATAAAACAGCGTTACCAGAAATCGGCGGCAGTAATAAAGGAAAAGAAACGCATTGAAGATAGAGTTAAATATGGGTAAAAATATTTTGTTGGGTGTTTTCCCAGTTTCTGTGATACGAAATTATGTGAAAACTGTGTATTTAGGATCAAAAGCGCTATATCATTACCGGTTTTATTATTGCATTGCATTGGTTTTATAAGTTGGTTTGTGTACGCTTTAAAAACTCAAAAGTTGCGCACTGATTCAGCTCAAATTTTGACACGGAATATAACCCGCTTTAAAGATTGGAATTTATTTTTTGGCAACAGTTTTGTTTCATATTTCTTATCAATCCAACCACAATGTGCCACAGCTAAGTGTGGCAGGGTACACCTAGTAACTTATAACAATATTTCAAAGGCAGCAAGAACCAATTTTGGAAGGATATCCGTACAGTTTTGGAACCAATTGCTCCCAAGCGCTACCCAACAATGCAATGTACAATATGCAAGTACAAAATGGGCGTACCAACTTGTGGACAGTAACATACTTGTGTATAGTGCTCAATTGTCTCTTATGGGAATGTATTCTCACTGAGATTCCAACTATTGCAAACTTCTATACAATACGTGAACGCTTGAAATAGGGTTGTCGAGTTGCAAGAAAACTTTGTACATAAGAATTGCTGATAATATTGTCTTCGACATCCTATTTCAACTTCTGATTTTGCAAAACTTAAACATAAAATATAATAATAATAACTTATATAATATACCGATTTAATAACTGATTGAATACATAGCCAACTTAATCTCCAAATAAAAAAATCTACTTTAATAATACATAATATATTCGAATATTCGAAATGATTAAGTAAAGGATAGAATGAGAAAAAGTAAATTGACAATTTCAACTTACAAATATTTAGATCGAACTGAAGTCAAACCTAATGCATCTGACGTTGCACTCAAATTATTTAATGTGTCCCACAATCAGCTGCATTTTTTTAATTACTGATATTATTTTGTTATTCCAATAATAGTTATTAGTTAGTAAGTTAGTTATCCAATCCGTGTGGTGACGGATTAAGAATACGGAGTGTCACCACCCCTATTCATTCCGTGGGTGTCGTAAGAGCCGACTAAGGGGGCAAACAACGCAGGACAACAGCACTGCAAAGAAAAGAAAAACTTGCAACAAACCCTATACCAACCCGTCTGGCCAGCGTGGTATAGTCGGCCAAAACCTCATTTCTAAGGAGAAGCCTATGTCCAGCAGTGGACTGTTATAGGTTGTTGATGATGATGTTGATGATGAGTTATCTACACAAGTTAATCCAGTCAGCAATGTAACCACCACTATATAAACAATTCAATATTGTGTTAATTTGGAACGGATGAGCTTTACAATAAAAGAACGGTGCCGTGACAGTTCAAGATTCTAAGATAGGACAGTTTGTTGTCATTTTATTTTTAACTTTTGTTAAATACGTATAAAGTAAAGTTTTATGTAAATATATATGTACATAAATTCTTAGTAACATGACAACCTTAAAAGACCGTGGAAATTAATATTGTATTGTTTGTTAACGTTTATAATACCGACTCAAACAACTGTCGACAAAAGTTAAGTACCTATGTAAGTGTCAGTATATACGCTAACATTTATATTTAATCTTGAATATAATGCTCGTAAATCCTTATTATTACAGTCGTAATCCTTTGTAAGTTATATGCCTAGAGGCGCCCTTAAAACGGCCATGGTCAAATTCTCCAAGCCTATCTACGGTCATAGCCATAAATTTAACGCAAATATGTATTTCTATTTGTTTGTTATATTTCTGTGCCTTAACTACTCAACTGGTCTTGAATTTTTGTATTGGGTATTTGGTCAGGTGTATGGTAACAGATACAGGGTGTTTCTCCTGCTAAACAAAGCAAATTAACTACCTACTATTTTGGAGAGGTAATCACGTATAACCACGAATTAACAAGTAATGATTCATAATCAATGAAAATACTAGAGTAGACTAAAATAAGAATCAGTTAGATTTACTCTATGTACCCACCTACAATAAATAAATCAGACGCTACTTTAAATTATCTCAGCCCAACAAATAGATACTATGTGTAATTATCACTTTTTAACCGACTTCAAAAAAAGGAGGAGGTTCTCAATTCGACTGTTTTTTTTTTTTTTTTTATGTTTGTTAGCTCAGAACTTTTGACTAGGTGAACCGATTTTGATGATTCTTTTTTTATTTGAAAGCTGGTGCTTCCCGTGTGGTCCCATTTCAATTTGGTTTAGTTCTGATAATGGCATCCATGAGAAAACCATATAAGTCTTAAATTTGCATTTAGTATGTTCGCGACAAATAGACGAATAACTCAATTTCACGCAAACCGATTTCGATAATTCTTTTTTTATTGGAATGGATATACTTTAAGGGTACTTTGATGAGAGTTTGGTTAGATTCTGATGATGGGATCCACGACAAAGTAACGGAACTCTTCAATTCTTAGGAGCAAATTAACGATACTCGGCTGAATCTTTTATGGGCTATCTGGATATTTGAGTCACCTACAGTAACGTCGTTATGGTCAAGTAATTGTCGTCATCAACAGCATTTAATGAGCTACTGCTGGACATAGGCCTCTCCTTAGAAAAGAGGTTTTGGCCTACTATACCACGCTGGCCAGACGCGTTGGTATAGGGTTTATTTCAAGTTTTCCTTCTCTTTGCAGTGCTGTTGTCCTGCGTAGTTTGCTCCCTCACTAGACTCTTACGACACCCATGTGATTAAAAGGGGTGGTGACATTCTGTATTCTTAATCCGTCATCACAGGGTAGATTGCCTCTGTTGAGATAGGCGTTTCTTCCTGACTCCCTTTGTTTCATTCAAACGGCGCTGTCTCATTTGAGCAGCACGTTTATTAGGTCTACCCATATTCAGACAAATTAGTAAGTGTACTTCAGATTCACTAAAAAGCAAAAAATAAACAAAAATTTTTAACAAAAAAAAACCGACTTCAAAAAACACTATTCCAAAACAAATTAATATGCACTAAAAAGGAAAAAAATAAATGCATATTCTTCTACAACTTAATAATCAACTTACTTTTTCTACTCATCAAAAAATCAATAAAATAAATATAATGTAGTTACAATTATTGTTATTTTTGGAGTCGGTGTCAGCCAAGGAAACACTACGATATACCTAGCAATAATAATACGAGAATACTTTAAGACTCGTCAACTCGTGCGTGCGACACAAGCACTTCTCACTTATAAGGTGTAGGTGACACCGACTGCAAAAATAACAATAATTGTAACTACATTATATTCATTTTATTGATTTTTTGATGAGTAGAAAAAGTAAGTTGATTATTAAGTTGTAGAAGAATATGCATTTATTTTTTTCCTTTTTAGTGCATATTAATTTGTTTTGGAATAGTGTTTTTTGAAGTCGGTTTTTTTTGTTAAAATTTTTTGTTTTTATAGCTATGTATATAAGATTTTCTTTGATTTCATCTACCTTTCTATTTCCTAACACACTAGCCACTACTCAATACCTCCCCCTTCATGTTTTCACTCCATACCAAGGTTGCCTGTAAGAGATTGCATCAACAATAAAGCGATGTATATTATTATTATTATTTTGGGTTTTAATTTTCATTTAAGCTTTTTGCTGTTTCCACCGTATTAACGGGCCTATATTATTATTATTATTTCAAAACTCTGAAGAAGAATAGTAGTCTAAATAATAGGAAGTACCTAATAATAAATATTGATCGATCCAAATAACCTTTAACAATTCTAGAGAATGATGCAGAAGTCAAAATCAAGTTGCCAGATGTACACTGTACAGATGAATTTTAGATGAAAATCTGCAAGATTAACGGAAGACGAGGTTTTAATAAAATCTAAAATATCTGGCACTTTAGTATCTCTGAATGCTATAGCAAATAACATAATTTGAATATTACGATATCTCTTTTCCACACACATAACATTACACTGGATTAAATCATACAAACCATTAGATAATTTTTTACAGTTCTTAAATTATTTTAATTCAATAAGATGGATAGGAGTTCAACTCTAAAACTCTTCACCTTCACCTAACAGTATTAATATTTAAATTCTTAAACAGCTTTTCGTTTAAAGTACACAGAGTTATTTTGTTAAATTCTTTCTATAACCGATATACACCGAGATCACCCCCACCACTTGATTTGACATCTTGACATCTGAGACCATTTGATTCTGCTGCATTTACTTGAAAAGATACGATTTCATCTCTAGTATTTTACGTTCCTAGAATAATAATAATATTCTAACACATTTCACACACGGCCGTCTGATCCCAAACTAGGCAGAGCCTGTACTATGGTAACCAGACTTCTAATAAAAATTCTTATATATTACTAAATACATACATATTATAGATGAAGTACACCCAAACACAGAAAAAATGACCGTGCTCATAACACAATTTTTGTCCTGGGTGGGAATCGAACCCGCGACCTCTGGCGTAGCAGTCAGGCTCACTAACCACTTGACCAACAGGTCAGTCATATCAGAATATTAATTGAATAATCAAAATATACTCGTTATAAACCGTAGTTTCTCGTAATATTTCTAAATCGATTTAAAACACAACAAGTATTTTAAAATAAATATTTTTGTCGTGTGTACTTTTATATCCATTAATTTACTTCAATAGATGTACAGAGTGCTGTCTGCAATTTCATTTAGTTAGTTTAGTTTCAATTGTTTCATTTATGAATTTTAAATATAAGATCTAGAC